GAGCAGCTGTGGTTGTAGTTGGTGCACCTGTGGTTGTTGGAGCAGCTTTGGTTGTTGGAGCAGATGTGGTTGTCGTCGGTGCAGCTATGGTTGTTGTTGGAGCAGATGTGGTTGTCGTCGGTGCAGCTATGGTTGTTGTTGGAGCAGATGTGGTTGTCGTCGGTGCAGCTATGGTTGTTGTTGGAGCAGATGTGGCTGTTGTTGCTGCAGCTGTTGTTGTTGGAGCAGCTGTGGTTGTAGTTGGTGCACCTATGGTTGTTGGAGCAGCTGTGGTTGTTGTTGGAGCAGATGTGGTACTTGATATTTGTGCTTGTGTCCTTATTTTTGGCGTCACTGTTGATTTTGTAAAACAAAACAATTTTTATAAATTTTAGATTTATGGATATTTCTATTTTCATACATTGTCTTTTTTAATTACTGACCTGTTAATATTAGTAGAAATGTTAAAAGCTTTTCAGCCCCCATCATTTGTTGATCGTCTTGCCGTTACTAATAGAAGTAGAACAAACAAATTTAGTTTTATCTTAACATGAAGCTTTTTAAAAAAAAATAAAAATTAACAGTAGTTTTTTGTTATTTCATTTCACAACTGTCTTTAATTTTCAGATTAAGGAAATTGATTTGCTTTTACTCTATCATATAACCACAGTATATAAAAAAATGTTGATTGTTTGATTGTCTTGTTGAGACACAGAGTAAGATACAACAGTTACTTGTCTGTTGGCATTTCCTAATACCATTTTCCATCATTTGTTTTGTTTTTTTCAATTGTGCATATTCCTCATTCTGCAGCTTCTTTTAAAATTTTTTTTTTTACTTTTAGGAGACAGATATTAATCGGTATAAATAAAACAGAGTAAGCTCTTACAAAATACAGTTTAGTGACATACATTTACTGATTGAAATGGTAAATTCAACAAATTGGCTCTTGCACACCTTCTTTTTAACAACATCCAAACAAAATAGTTTATAACTGTTGAAATTAGCCCCATTTGTTTTTTATTGTATGATAAATGTACATTTTAAAATTATTTCTCTAATGATCCACTAACCTCAACCAAGTTCACCGCCTTGCACAAGATACAGATATTTTTAAGTTGCAAAGGCATATGCTAATAAAAAGTAATCACACATAATACTTGCTAAGATTAGTAAGAAAAAATATTAGATAGCCCAAAAAATACATAAAAGCTTTAACACAATTCTTGTTTCTGCTAAACTCTCTGAAGGCTGATTTTGGTTACAGGAAGACCATTTTTATTTTTATTTCAGAATTTATTTATTTTTATTTATTTATATTGTTATTTCTGAAGACAATTTAATTTTTTACAGTAAACAAACAATTTGGAATTGGATGGGTTAGAGCAGTGGTCTCCAGCCCCTTGGCTGTGGACTGGTAGCGGTCTGTGGGTCAATTAGTCCTGGGCTGCATAGAAAAAATACATTACTTTGATTATTTTAGTTTTATTAAGTATCTGATTCTGAATGATGTTTGATTTTGGAAAATTACCAGATTCTCTCTGCCACCTCTGTCTATGACTCGCTCTTGACACAAGTTAAGATGCTTGCCTCGGTCACATGGCTACCTTCTTAAAGTGGCTGCTCCCGCCGGTAACACATGATCCATTACCGCTCAATTGAAGCCCCGGCCTGAGCCTTCATTCTCTCAGCTGGTGCACGATTGCCAGTCTTTGCTTTTAAAAGTGTCCGAGCGCTACTTCCCAACCACGAAAGATCCACGATGGGTGGAACGGGTCACGGATTCATGGATCCACGACCCATTCGCCAACAAACCAAGGGAATCCAGCATGTCTATGCAAGAAGATCAACTGCTGGAGATCGCAAATGACGGTGGCCTTAAAAGTATGTTTGAGACAACAGCTCTGCTGTTCTTCTGGATTGAAGTCATGGCAGAATACCCTGAGATCACCACAACAGCACCAAAAACCCTGTTGCCATTTCCAACATCCTATCGTTGTGAAGCAGGGTTTTCTGCAGTGACAGCCACCAAAACAAAACTATGGAGCAGATTGGACATAAGCAGCACACTTCGAGTGTCATTGTCTCCCATTAGCCCTAGATCGGACGGTCTTGTTGCAGAGAAACAAGCTCAGGGCTCCCACTGATTTAACATTATGGTGAGTTGTATTTTTATGCACTTTATATGTGTTTTTGTGGTGAATCTTATGTTGAAAGCATGTTTGACCTTTACTATTATGACCAGAGAGTGTGGGGCTGAGAGGCCATTACTCATGTTACGATGTTGGCGCGATGTTACGAGGACGCTGCTAATAAAGTTGCATACACAGTGGATTTGCGTTTATTATTATATTTAGAAAATACCAGTTTTTATGCTGGTTGTATCATTTTATTTTGTTGTATTTATCCTCCACACCTTAAAGGCCGGTCCGTGTCTGACCTTAAACTGGTCCGTGACGCAAAAAAAGTTTGTCTTTCCACTCAGTCCTTCAACAGTTTTTTTTTTTACATTTATTCCTACACTCACCAGCCTTTATATTAAGTTATTAAGTACACCTGTTCAAATTTTTTTAACACAACAACTTGATGCATGTATGCATGTAGACATGGTGAGGACGACTTGCTGAAGTTCAACCAGAGCATCAGAATGGAGACGAAAGAGGACGTATGTGACTTTGAACACAGCTTGGTTGCCAGATAGGCTGGTCGGAGTATTTCAGAAAGTGTTAATATCCTGGGATTTTCACAACCAAGTGTTTACAAAAAAAAAATGCCTTATTCATGTCAGAGGTTAAAGTAGAATTCATAGACTGGTTTGAGTTGATAGCAAGAAAACAGTAGCTCTAATAACCACTCATTAAAAACAAAGGTATGCAGATAACCATCTCTGAACGCACAACACGCAAAACGCTGAAGCAAAGGGACATACCTGGGGCCACTCCTGTCAGCTAAGAACAAGAAACTGAGGCTACAACTTGCACAGGCTCACAAAAAATGGCCAATGTGAAATTAGAAAAACATTGTCTGGTCTGATGAATGTCTTTCTTCCCTAAAGGTGCATGGTCAATAAAGTGTCAGTAGATCAGAAGTTTCTTAAATACTCAGACCAGACCTTCTGTTACCAACAATCATGCCACATTCAAAGTTGCTCAAATCCCCTTTCTCCCCCACTCTGACGCCCAGTTAGTTCAGCAACTTGCTACATGTAATGTAGCTTGGATACATGACTGGATGATTAGCTATTGTATTACCCAAAGAAATTAATATTTGTGCCCTATAAAGAGGTTGAAATTAAATATAATCTATTAAAGAGTTTAAAAGCGGAATGTTAAAATCAGCTGTTCCACTGGGTTCTTTCCTTGTGTCCAACAACCATTTAACTCCCTTCTTAAGCCTGCGTTATTTGTTATTTATGTTTTCTGCCCTATCGACTTAAATACTGGTGAAATTTAAGTGAACATTACAAAATATCAAAAGAACACTAAAGTTGTAAAGCTGTTCTTTGTCAAAATAAAGATAGAACTCATAAGTGTACCAAAAATAAAAATAAAATAGTACATGAGCAGGTAACGATACATGGTGAGTTTGGAAAAAAAGAATGCATTGAATTAAAATTGGAATTAATTATATTAATCTTTTTAGTTCCTCATTCCTTTATCAATAAATTAATTTCAAGCTGAAAAAACATGTTTAATTACCTTTTTTTTTAACTTTGTTGTTAATGATATCCATCGGTGGTATTGAACAACATAATGTAAATCATAAAATTTATTTACATTAAATATTTGATTACATTTTTATCAATAAAAGACTATTTTTGTCACTGAATAAATTATAGAATCCTGTTTAGTTTCTACTGAAATATGAAAAATACAAATATATTCTTGTTGGAAAAAATAAACATCCTGTCGTCATTTCTTTACTCCATTAATCCACTCTGTGAACAGGAAAAGATTTTTAAACCGGTCTTTAATTGCAAGGCTCGACATCACAAGGAAGCTTTCACAGATGTCCAAAAGTGACATGCCTTTAGCCTCGTCAGTGAGAATCTGCCACGAACAGTATGAAGAAGTGCTTTTTACAATGTTTATTAGACAGACACTAATGATGACCTCGGTCTGCCAGCTTACACACTCAGAGAAGACCTTGGAGCCCATCAGAGAGATGCAGGCTCCTTAGAGAGGAGCCTGCAGGCAGACAAAGCAACTCTCACACTCATTAGTTTAACATCAGTTACTGATAATCATCCATAACCTTTACCTAAAGTCCCTTGACAATTATTTAAATCATTTTGAGATAATTTTGCACAGATATGGGTTAAGGTTTAATTCAAATTTTCCAATATGGTGTCAAAAAATGCATCGCCGTTTACACTTTCCTTATTGTTCATTTTAATATTTTGTCAGGCAGTATGGTAAATAAAGAAAAATAAAATGAAAAATATTTAATTTTAAATATTCAATTTTCAGTTTAATTTATTTACTTTGTATATAGCAAAGAGTCACAACACAAATTATGTCAGTGCACTGAACAGAAACATTCATATATATATTTTAAAAAAAGTTAACACTATTTATCTGAGGAGCAGATTGCTTTGAATTTAACTCCATCGCAGAACTTTTTCTTTTTGTCCTTCTTGCCCTCGGCAAAGGCGAACGCTTTGTCCTCCTGCTCCTTCCCCTGCTCTGCTCTTTTTGTCCTGTGAACCTTTTTAGAGCCTCTTTTTGCATATCTTCCAAATTATAAATTATGGATCTGGTCAGCTGGTCTCTCAACGCAATTGATCAAATTTTCTCAACAAGAAAACAGAGTGAAGGAGAGCCCTTCTGCCCCATCAGGACACTTGCAGCCGGATACACGATGGATTCCTGGGGCAATCTTGTGTCTGTCCATACTATCGGTTGAGGACGCTGGAGATATGTACATAATTGGATTTATGATAACAGGATTTCTGCTTTTTGGAGTTGATGGTTATTTGCCATATCAACAAATTTGGAGAACGTCAGCAGCTGTAAACTATAAAGCTGCCCAGCCTGTGTGAAGGAATTTGCCGTGCTGTAAACACTCCTACTCAAATGCTGTGTGAGCTGAAACGTAAGCTGGAAGAAGGAACAGATACACAATGGCAGGTCGAGAATCACGTTAAGATAGAAATAATACCAAATTAAAACTATTCAATTGTAACAATTATTTTAAGGAAATGAGTTCAATTTGTCCTGCAGTAGTCTAAGCCTATAGCAGCATAACAAGCCAGCAAGCTAACCCTAACTATAGGATTTATGAAAAAGGAAAGTCTTAAGCCCAGTCTTAAAACGGGACAATGTGCCCTACAGCCAGAAACTGGAAGTTGGTTCCACAGAGAGGAAGGAGCATTGCAACTGAAAGATATTCCTTCCATTCTGCTTTTGGAAACTCTAGGAACTGTGAGTAAACCTGTAGTCTGAGAATGAAGTGCTTTGTTAGGAAAAAATGGAACAATAAGATCTCAAATATAAGATGGAGCTAGGTTGTTGAGGGCTTTGTATGTTAGAAGTAAGATTTTGAATTAAATTCTGAATTTGACAGGGAGCCAATCAAGAGAAGCTAAAACTGACGATATCTCTCTGATTAACTCCAGTTAAGACTGTTTGCAGCAGCACGTTTTAAAGAAGTATTTGGACACCCAGATAATAAACCATTGCAATAGTCCAGTCTAGATGAGACAAATGCATGAACCAGTTTTTCTGCATCATTTTAAGAAAATACGTTTCTAAGTTTAGTGATATTATGCAGGTGGAAGAAGGTGATTCTAGTAATGTTTTTAATGTGGGGGATAAAAGACACGTCCTGATCAAAAATAACACCAATATTTTTAACATTAGAGCTGGAGGACAGATTGATGCCATCCAAGGAGGGCGAAAGACTGAAAAATTAATTCCTAAGATGCTCAGGTTCAAACACCAAAATCTCAGTCTTGTCTGTGTTCAAAAGTAGAAAATTTATGGTCATCCAGGTTTTTATGTCTTTAAAACATGCATGCAGTCTAAGTAGCTGATTGGATTAATTGGGTTTCATGGACAAATATAACTGTGTATCATCAGCATAACAATGAAAATTTATCCCATGCTGTTTAATAACATTATCTACTGGAAGCATATATAAAGTAAAGAGTATTGGTCCAAGCACTGAACACTGAGCAACCTTTTTAGTACCTTTTTTATATATAATTTAACAATTAAATACATAAACACATTTACACATAGACAATATAGTCAGAAATTTGACTTACCCAAAGCAGAAACAAAAAATAAATGTTCCTTAAAGAGTCTTAAAACGTTCCTGCTTCTCTTTAAACTGGGCTGCCTTGTTCTTTGACACCTTATATATTTGCTACAAAATAGAGGTTTGACGGAAGTAATAAAAAAAAAAATGTCTGCTTGACACTAAATGACCACAGAATTTTTTTTTTTACCTTTCTCAAATTCAGTTTTGGCATTAATGCATCCTCTTGGCATGGCGGCAATCCTAAGAATCATTGTTTTTTTGTTCCACTAACGTGAACAAACCAGACATGATTAACCTGTCTCTTCTGAGCTGAGGTGCAGCACTTTAAAACTTAAAACATTCTCCTAAATAACTGAATTGTCATTATATATGAGCAACTCATGTCAAAATTATTATTTTTTAATAAACTTCGACTGTTTTTATTTTAACTTTATAATGTGGACGCAAATGCTAAAAAAACTATTTTAAAAGCTATAAATGTTTAAAGTGGTACATTGGTTGTTGTATGGGAAAAGCAACATGTGTTTAAGCTTTTAATCAAAAGGGAAAAATACAGTTACATTGAAATTTATACTGTACCATGTAACGGCCTTTCACATTGTCCTTGTCTTAGTAGTACATAGCAATAAATATAGTACTTGCTGGATTTTCACCTATCTCAGAGGTCTCTGGAACATAACCCCTGCAAAAGGTGAGGGATCACTGTATAAAGACAACTCCAAATTATTATTTTATTTCAAGCATGTTTTAATTATTAGAATACATTTAATTTCAAAATATGTAGGGAGTGGTGGCCTAGAGGCTTGAGAAGGTGGGCTTGTGATCGGATGATTGCTTGTTCAACTCCCCGGACTGACAGCATCAAACTGTGGGTGGGGAAAGGTGAAGCACCCACACCTGCCTCCATCCTCATTTGCCCCACTCTGGGACCTTGAGCAAGGCCCTTAACCCCCACCATCAGCTCCCCTGGGCGCCCTAGATGACAGCTCTCTGCTCCACGAAGAGGGCTATGGTAGCTCGGTGGTCTGTGGTTGCGTCAGGAAGAGGATCCAGTTTCAAAATAATTGCCACGTCTTTGTGTGAGTAAGTTTCGCTGTGGTGACCCGTGAATAAGGGAGCAGCTGAATAAAAAAATAAATAAAATATTATTTCAAGATGTAACAATGTGAAAACTATCTCACTATCTCTTAAAATGATATGCCAAAAAATAAATAAAAGTAAAACTAGTCTTACGAACACAAATATGTGAAGAAAAACTCAGATGTTTAGGCAGAACACAGCTTACTGTCACTTCACTTGTTTTATGATTGACATGAGAACTTTCATGACATGTAACATCCTGCTTCTTCAAGAAAAGGACCTAAGCCCGTAAAAGAATCTATGATGAGAATGTTCGTATATAACACCACAAAAATGACAAACCTGTTCCTTTGTGGTGGTGCAAGCAAAGGCTGGAGTTTTTTGTTTTCCTTTTCGTGTCACGAGGGTCACTAGTGCCCATATCCAGCAGTCACTGTGTGAGAGGCAGGGGACACCCTGGACTCAAGTCAAGTCCATCACATAGACATATAGAGACAAACAACCATTCACACTCTCACTCATGTGTAGGGAAAATTTAGAGTTACCAATCAGCCTAACGTTTTTGGTCTGTCGGAGGAAAACGGAGTACACAGAGAAAACTGACGCATGCACGGAGAAAACATGCAAACTCCACCCAGAAAAGGACCTGGAAATTCGATCCGACATCCTTCTTGCTGAGAAGCAACAGCTCAATCAACTGATCTACCGTGCCGCCCACACACTAAACAAAATAGATTATTTGCATATACAGTACATATTTTATTTCCACATAGTGAATAGTTTTTAGGGAGAAAAAAAAAGAATAAAGCCAATTTTAAATCTTTGGTTGACCTTATTGAGAGGAGTTTGCAAGTTTATTTGTGGATTTTCACCTTAATCTCAGGTTTCCTCTCACAGTCTGAAAAGTAGGAACAAGTAAACCAGAGAAAACACTAATCCTAACATTTAAAGCCCAGGTTTTCAAATGTTGTTGTGTTCACTTTTCCATTAGTTCTCAAAACAGGAATAATTTAAGCAAACAAAAAACAAACAAGTTAAGTAAAACTTTAGTTTTATCTGCACATGTAAATTAAATTCCAAGGACGTACATGGACAGGAAATAAACAAGGAGCTCATTGTTCCTTGTCCAGATGTGGGTTACCTGGGCCTCACCCTGGAGCCAGGCCTGGTGAAGGAGCTTGTCCGTGAGTGCCTGGTAACCGGGTCTCTACCCATGGGGATTGGTCGGGCTCAGCTTGAACAAGCAACATGGGTTTGCCTTCCTGTGGGCCCACAGCCTGCAGGATGGGCCATACGAGTTGAGTGCATGATTCCATGGGTTGTGGCTGAAGGCAGGGGCCGGTGTAACCCAGTCTTCTTCTTCTTCTTCTTCTAGTATTGTTTTATGGCGGTTGGCAGACCAACTGTAAGGTGCATTACCGCCACCTACTGAGCTGGAGTGTGGGCAGAAGATATACAGGAGAGAAAAAAAAAAAAAAAAAAAAAAAAAAAAAAAAAAAAAAAAAAAAACAATAATAATAATAATAGTAATATTAAATAAAATAAAATAAAAATAGATAGATAAATAAATAAACAAAATAAATTAATAATAATATGTAAAATATATAAATAAATAATATTAATAATAATAATAATTCTGTGAAATAACTTCACATCTATATTTCATCTAAATTCTCTCCATTAAATTTGTTTTTTTCAAGAAAATAATAATTTGATCTTTGACTTTACCAGCATCACTACTAAAGATATCATTAATTGTAAATTTTATATTCATTTTAGTTATTTCTTTTTGGAAATGTCTTCTTTCTAATTCATATCCACAACATTCCATAAAAACATGTTTTACTGTTTCAGGGAGATTACAGTTATCACATAACCCCGTGGCATGTTTTCCTATTACTTTAAGAGAGCTATTGAGACCCGTATGTCCTATTCTGATTCGGGTCATTATTGTTTCTACTTTTCTGTTTCTTCCCGTTTTCTTTGTGCCTCCTACCTTTTTCTGAATGTTATACAAATGTCGTCCTGTATCAATTATGTCCCAATTATCCTGCCATATATTCGTAACATATCTATTTATTATCATTTTACACTCAGATTTACTTAATGGAATTTCATAGTTTACATTTTTAGATTTTACTGCCTGTTTAGCAAGAATGTCTGCACCTTCATTGCCTTCCACTCCCACATGTGCTGGAACCCAAACAAAATCTACAGATATTTCCCTCAAGTGAAGTTTATATAGAATGTGGTAAACCCTGTCAATTAGGTCTTGTCTTTCTGATTTACTTGATTTGATGCTTAATAAGACTGCCATATTATCCGATGCAATGACATATTTTTGACCATTATATTTTTCAATCCATTCTAAACCCATGATTATAGCTAATAATTCTACTGTGTATACTGTCAAGTTGTTTGTTGTTCTTTTCTTCATCTCTATATTTAGATTTGGGATGTACACTGCTGCTCCTGTTTGTCCTGATTCTGGATCTTTTGATCCATCTGTAAATACTATAATTTTATCCATATGTTGTTTATGAAAGAATTGTTGCACTAAGAAGTTTTCTGAAATATTTTTCCCTTTATTTTTGATTAATTTATGTAATGATAAATCGACAGAAGGATAAATATATAACCAATGATGGATACACGATTGATTAACTGTTGGACTTAATTCTATTTCATGCAACCCTGCATAGTGAGCTTTGATATTACCTATCCAGCCAAAACTATAAATATTTGTTTTTTGATGTTCCCAACATTCCTGTAATATATTATGAACTGGGTGTGTTTGGTCATGTCCTTTAATATTAATCCAGTATAGTAACATTTGTTTCAATCTTCTTATTCGTAAAGGCATTTCCCCCATTTCAACTTGTAGAGCTGAAACTGGTGATGTTCTAAATGCTCCACTGCATATTCTGAGTACTTTTGATTGTTCTATATCCAGAAGTTTTAAATGAGTTTCTGCTGCTGCCATATAGCTAATGCTGCCATAGTCCATTGTTGATCTCATAAGTGATTGATATATATTTACTAATGCTTCCCTACTTGCTCCCCATTCCCTTCCTGTTAAACAACGCAATAAATTATTAACATTTTTACATTTTATTTTTATTTTTTCTATATGTTGCTTCCATGTAAGTTTTTCATCAAAAATCATGCCTAAAAATCTTATATCCTTAACCTGTTCAAGGTTTTGACCATATAACTTTAAGGAGATAGACTTATGTTTTCTAGAGAAGCAGATAACTTGAGACTTTGTTGTTGAAAGTTTAAAACCCCAGTTATTGGACCATATTTCAACTTCATTGATTGCCTTTTGCATTTTATTTCTGAGATATTCTACATTACGACCACGAATCCATAAAGCTCCATCGTCCGCATATAAAGATTTACTGATTCCATGATCTATTTTATCAAATATGTCATTGATCATTATCAAGAATAATACTGGGCTACAAACACTACCTTGAGGAGTACCATTCTCCACAATATATTTACTTGAAAATTCCTTTCCCACTCGCACTTCTATTGTTCTTTCAAATAAAAAATTACTTATCCAATTAAATAGTTTTCCTTTTACCCCAAGTTTTTCCAGTTTTACTAATAAACCTTCTTTCCAAAGTGTATCATAAGCTTTTTCTATATCGAAAAAGACTGCAATAACTGATTCTTTGTTAGCTTGTGCTTTCCTTATCTCTGACTCGAGGCATAAAATAGAGTCCATTGTGTTTCTCCCTTTCCTGAATCCACTTTGATTTGGTGATAACAGATTATTAAATTCTAAATAACTATATAGCCTTTTAGTTATTATTTTTTCCATTGTTTTCCCCAATTGTGAATTCAAAGCAATGGGTCTATAGTTGGAAGGATTTGAAGGATCTTTACCTGGTTTTAATATTGGTATTATTATTGAATTTTTCCATGAAGTTGGTATTTTACCACTATCCCAAATTAAATTAAACAAAATTAATATTGCTTTAATAGAATTTTCACCCATATGTTTTAACATATCGTAACAAATATTGTCTTTTCCAGGAGATGATTGATTAGTATTACTAAGCGCTCTTTTAAATTCAAATAAAGTAATAGGTAGATCCATCGTCCCTCCATTGACAGTTTTTTTGTTATCTATATTTGGATGGTTTTTTAATATATTGCTCCTCAACTCCCTAACATTTGCTGAAATATTGTCAGAACTATGTATTTTAACCAGTGTTTTAACTAATAATTCTGCTTTATCTAGATCAGTTATTGCAACAGTGTTTTCATTTTTAATTATTGGGATTTCATATTTCCTAGTTATTCCATTCATCTTCTTTATCATCCCCCACACATCTGATAATTTAGTTTCTCTCCCTATGGTAGAGCAATATTTTTGCCAGTATTCTCTTTTTGCTTTTCTTATTGTTCTCCTAACAATTGCTTGTTTCCTTTTATAAAATATTAACTTTTCAATTGTATGCTGAACTTTTAGTTGTTTAAATGCTTTATTCCTTTCTTTAATAGCTTTTTTACAGTCCTCATCCCACCATGGAACATTCTTTTTAATTCTACTTCCTGTACTTTTAGGTATTGCTTTATTTGCATTCTGTATAAGTATTGTTGTTAATTTTTCATAAAATTCTTCAATATCTTTAATATCTTCTCTAATAATTTCTCCACATTTAATTTCAGTCAGATTTTGAAACTTGATCCAGTTTGCTTTATTAAATTGCCACCTAGGGTGTAACCCAGTCAATTTTGGTGCTTGTATTTCCTCAGTTTTATGCCACTGTTTTGGGACTAAGTGTGAAATCTCATGAGATTTCACGGGATTTGAGTTTCATAGAAAAACATAGCTCCTCCCATCAATTGGGAGAGCAGGTGTGTGACTGAGGAAGTTCAGAGCTGCTGCAGGTGGGCATTAAGAAATTTTGAATACATTTTATAGACTGTCAAATACTGTCAAATCCTTACTGGTATGCTTCTCAGCTTTTAGATGTTTCTAAACTGTGAGACACTGCTGTTTGTGCTTAAAAGACCAGAAACAAGCAAACTGGTGAGTGTTTATATTGTTGTGGCATGCTAATGCTGGCATTAGCATGCTAAAGCAAATCCTAATTGTTTGTTAGCTTATAGCCTTTAAATATAAATGGTCAAATGCTATTCAATGGATTTAAAGGTTATGTTGTACTTTTGTGCCATCTTTAACACTCAATCATACAGCGACTATGAATTTGAAGAGTACTCTATTTGGAAATTATTGTTTGTATATTTATATTATGATAAACAATTTTAGAAAAGTAAATCATGTACATGTAGATCATCAACATATTAATCCTATGTATTTGTAAAACTAATTATGGTATGGTATTGATGGTGATTTCGATATTAATACTAGAAAATGATGTTAACTTGATCCTGTTGTACAGGCCAGGTTTCCTATGATGGCGAGCTACCACTAGGCTTCAGGCCCAAAGAACCCGGAGCCAGAATCGGATCTGTTTGGTGCGGTAGGAAATGCTGTGGCCGGCTCCCTACACACACCCAAGAACCCACTCAAGCATTAAAGGCCTCTGAACATTTAATTAGTCTTTGACTCATCGAACATCTAAACCCCTCAATCTTATCTGGACTATTGCCCTGGTCTTGGTATCTTGTGAACTGTGGGATTATTACAAGCACTTGGATTTAGTCTGGAAAATTTGGGAGATCTGTTCATTTATTGAAATATCTTGGTTATTGGTATAATGAATGGATTGATGATGTTGATGACAAAGCTTATTATGTACATATTGTAAATATTATCAAAATTAATACAAAGCACCTTATGCACTGTTTTTTGTCCTTGTGTTCTTGAAATGCAAATGCAACCATAACCCTTCATGAGGAAGACGTTAGGACCTTCTGATAACTGGCCTGCTACTAATACTGTTGAGTGAACACCATTTTTGCCAGATCTTTAGCATTTACATCATATATGCTACACCATGGCGCTCTGACTCTGGCTTACCAAAGCTGGCTCTTGGGACATGGAATGGGACCTCTCTGGCATGGAAGGAGCCTGAACTTTTGCATGATGTTGAGAGGTATCATGTAGATATAGTTGGGCTCACCTCGACGCAGAGCATGGGTAACGGAACCAAACTTCTTGTGATTGGGAGGAATGGCCTCTCTGAGCTGAACCCAAGTGGTGTACTGTTGTTGGACTTCTGTGCAAGTCATAGTTAGTCCATCATGAAAAACATGTTCAAACATAAGGGTGTCCATAAGTGCACTTGGCACCAAGACAACCTAGGTCATGGAACAATGATTGACTTTGTAGTCAGGTCATCTGATTTGCGGCCATTTGTTTTGGACACTCAGGTGAATTGAGGAG